CCCCAAACACATAAAAAAAAAACTAACCTGAGTTCCTTCCCAGAGTTTCTCAAGCTGGCTACCCGACATGCAAAGTTCGACGAGATTTTCCGGGAAAAATCTAAGAGGAAGACACTTTCTCGGGTATTCCTCCCAGTGTAGTAACCTTAGATAAGATGGAAACTCCATTTCCTCAGGTATGTGCACTCTATCATTCCCATCATATCTTGTCTTGTAAACACATAGGAATCGAAGATTACACATTCTTTTAAGAGCTCTCTCGCTTATATTCACTTCGTTGATTCCTGATGTATCGAATGATATGCCTGACACAGTTCTATTACCCTATATCAAGGAATTGTTAGCACTATTATGAGATTTGTTTACCAAGTAACTTTTTCAAAGTGTAAAGAGAAAAATAATTAATAAATAGAAAAAAAACTTACCTTATCATTTTCAAGGACATCACATATCTCTTGAGCATCAATTAAGATCTGACGTTTCCAAGGCTCTTGTCTATGAATGGCTTGTCTACCCACTTGTTGTAGTAACTTGTGCATCACTATTTCCCCTATGTTAGATACATATATGAGAGATTTATTTACTAGGATTTTCAACCCGTGTTCGATATCCAAGTTATTGTCACCAAGCATGGCATTCACTAGATTGCCATCTTTATAGTTGAAGAAGACTGCAATGTGGAGAAATAGAGATTGCTCGTTCTCATGTAAACTCTCATATCCAACTCTTAATACTTTCTCGATATCTCGATGATCAAGAATAGTTTCTAGCCTGCGCATTACTTCTTTCCACTCCTTTTCCTTCTTCCCGCGCAAAGATGAACCCACCACACGTAGACCCAAGGGAAGGTTACCACAAAGCTTTGTTACTCTGAATGCAAGCTCTTTAAAACCATGATGTGGAGAGCTTTGCTTAAAAGCATATCTACATAAGATTCCAAGAGCTTCTTCTCTAGAAGGAAAACCCACATGGTATGTATTGTCGATACCATGTTGCTGCAAAAGCTCTTGATCTTCTGTGGTCACGATAATCCTACTTCCAAAACCAAACCATCTAGTTTCATTAGCTAAAGCCTCTAATTGCTTTAGATCATTCACATCATCAAGAATGATAAGCACTTTTAGATCGCATAACCTTTCTTCTATCGCACCGAAATTGCATATCTTAATATCATTTTGGTTCAAAATTTTTGAAAGAAGTTGCTCTTGTAGGCGTAGCTTCAATCCGTAGTCGTCAAGACCACTACTACAGCTTCCCCTAAGATTCTCTATAAAACAACTTAGCTGAAAATTGCTAGAGAGTTGGCTATGTAAAGCTCTGGCAATAGTAGTCTTACCAATGCCTGCAGGACCACAAATTCCTACTATCATAGCTCCATCTTCATAATCTAAACTTAACAAATACTTCATTTTAGTCAAATGAGCTGAAAGACCCACCATGTCCTCAAAATCCTTCGACGGTGAAGCATTTAGTTTGCGTGAAACATCTCCTGCAATCTTTTCGACCATGCTCGCTTCATTGTCCCTAAAATTGAAAAAAAAAAGCATTGCCACCATCAAATAGTCGTGATAAATAGTATGTATCCTCTATATATTATTTTACAAGTCATCATTCTAATTTTGTTCAGGTACTCTTTAAGGCCTCTTCACAAAGCAAAACACTTAAACAACATTTACACACGACTAACCATGTGTCAAAATAATTTATTTTTATTTAAAAATTATTGTTTTAAATAAAATAAGAGTTAATTAGCTCAATATTATGTTTTAAGTAATGAATTAAGAAAGTAACATGTACATAAAAGAATTTAGGTGAGTAGCATAGAGAAGAAATACTTGGACAAATTTGTCCCTATTAAATTTAGTAATTATTGCTAATTAATAAAGATTCATAATATCAGTGGTGGAGAATATGAAAATCAGGATTGGTGGTGGATCTCAAAAAAGAAAGAGAAATACGTATAGTTGACTATATTTGATTTTCTTTTTATGTTGTAATAGTTAGCTATAATTCTAATATCGTAGTTAACTATTTGTTTCAGATGACAAAATGGACTATGGTTATTGTGATGTTGGGTGAATGGGTTGTTTTGGAGACTGGTGTTCGGGATTTCAAACCTAAGTAGGACGAGTTTTTTAAATGTGGTTATTGTGTCTATAAACAGTATAGTTAGCTATGTCATGA